ATTTTTTTTTTTTTTTTTTTTCCTGCAAGTTGACCTACTTAATGTACTTAAAAAAATATTTACCCCACTTTCCAATAATATTAAAAACTTATTTCAATAATAATAAAAATAAAAAAGCTAAAGATTTTAAATAACATTGCCCTTCATTTAATGGCCTGTCACTTAAATTATTGGAAAGTAAATTTATTAAGTTAAATAGTTATTCTATTCATCTTTTTACCTTTAAAATAAAACCTTATTAGCTTAAATAATTTTCTACGAAATTTTTTGTGATCTGGTTTACCTTTTTATAGAATTGCTTTGTACTTAATAAGAGAGTTCTTTACTTTTTAGATATGATCCAGGAAAACACAACCATTTATTGGTAGTGGGCCACAAAAACTGCAAAATATTAAGTCTGGGACCAAGATTGAAATAATGCTTGTAATTATAAATGTGTGAGGAATACTTAAGACTCTGTTTAAATGTAATGTGAATAAGCTACAAGTTTATAATTAATCTTTTGCTCCTGTGCAGATAATAAAAATGATTTGTGTGAATAAGTTTCAACAATTTTACTTATCAGATTGCAAAAGAAAATTACGTTAAATTTATAATTATTTAGGCATTGGAATATAACAAAAAGATAACTAAATTTGCATTCGTCCTAAAAGTTAAATTTCTCTATTATTCAGAAAACAAAATTTGTTACTAATACAATAGCAGGTTGTGATGACTTGCTAGAATTTTGAAATTATGACTTTTTTTATTCATCTTATCTTCATACATAATTTTCTTTTCTTCTCTTTAAGTTTATTTACAAATTTTTAAGTTATTACATTCCACTGCAAACTCCTAAACCCATTGCATAAATAGAATTTTAATAATGAAACTGCAATTGTCGCATTCTGATACTTTTAGGTAGGCTGTAAACTAGATCAGTAAATTTCTGTTACTCTTTTCTTTTATATTTTTAATACTATTTTTGACAGCTCAAGAGTTAAGACTTTTTATTTATTTAATTTTTTTTTTGGGGGGGGGGCTTCTGTCCTTATCTTGTACATTCCTATACTTTTACCATTACTTCTAATACACTATTAAAAGTTTTTTTTAACATTTTGATAATTTTTTTCTTTTAGAAACGTTACTTCAGTTAGATCGGGAGCAGCTTCAAAAATTAGTTCAATATTTAATTGCTGAACATCATACAGAGGTTTTACCTACTGCCCAAAGACTAGCAGATGATATCCTTCAAACTAAGTCTTTAATTAATCGAATAGCCGGTAAGTATTCCTTAGATTCTGTGTAAAAAAAATTTTACATTTTATTTGTGTAACTTACAAATACGTAACTATTGAATCATCATAATTCTGCAAATTTTAGGTCTAATTAGTTAATTGACATTTTGCAATAGTATTTTTTTATCTTTTAGGTACCTCTGTGTTATTTTTTGCCTTATGTTTATCGTATTTCTTTATGTTCTTATATATACACAAATAATAGTAAACAACAACATAATAATAATTAGATTATCATGAAAAATTGACTCAGAAATGATAATAATTATGAAATGATCATAATTATACTCAGTTGTGAGTTATGAAAAAACCATTATCCCTAAAGAGAGAGCCTGTTTGCATTTAAGTGCAAACTAAATGGATGTCAATATCAACATCCCCAACTCTTGAAACGATGTTGCACAGCCTTTTTTATTTTCTTGCTTGCTTTCTTAAATCCTGTGAAATGAGTAATAGTTAATTAACAGGTAATAAGAATTAATAAAAATGGTATCTAAAAACCGTAACAAATCTACGCCTTTCTGTTCACATTTAAAGAAACTGGTGAAAGAATAATAAATATTCTTTTTTGTAGATTATCTTCTATTACAGCAAAACAAATGTAAAAATTCTTGATCTCGCTTTTTATTTGTTGAGGGTAATTTGATTCTTCAGCATAAGACACGCTATTTTTAGGGGTCCAATCAAGTCCAATGCACTTGCAACGTTATATAGTTGTTTCTTTTTCGAAAACGAATGTTCTTCTTGTTTATTGAAATATGTTGCCAAGTCTAGGTTTCCAGTAAGACTACCGCACTATAACCTTTTTTTAATATTTCTATGACATATATCGTAAAAGCTCGCCAAATTAAATTTCAGTCTGACGTGTTTTAGTTTTGTATTGTTTAGAAAGCATATTTGTATAATTTGATAACTAAATAAAACTGAACTATATGCAGTTCCAGATGATTACTTAAATCCTATACCTCACTGGTCTTTTCTTAACTTACAATGGAGTATAAAACATGCCTCATTAGCTTAGTCATTATTACATCATAAAAATATTATTAAAAAATAAATAAATGGAGGATTGAAATTAATTAGGATTAACTGAGACCAGACTCCAATACCTTAATTTAATGAAAGTTTATGAAAATTGAATCCTTATCAGGTATTCAGTTTTTATAAGAAAGCGATATTTCCTTGTAATGAATTAATTTAATGATTGAAGAAACTTTTTAACATTTGTACAAATTTCCTACAATATAATTTTATGATTGACAATTTCTCCTGCTTTTCTTTTTAACATGGTTTGCTAGTAATTTCTCAATACTAATATAATCTTTGAAAAAACCTTAATTCAACATTATTTGCCTTTTTTTATTTATTATTCCTTAATGCATTCTAGATATTTAAAGTTTTATTGTTAAATTTAATAGTTTTTTTTGTGAAATCTCGTGAAGTTATTTTAATCATATATGTACGTGATTCTGTTGATTAGATATATATTTTTTAAGTTATTAGTAACAGTGACTAAAATATATATTTTTTGTTGTTATTTTTTAAATAGGAGCTCCTGATCCAACCGCAGGAGCTCCGGCCGATGAAGAACACAGCTGGCATCTTGATGAAGAACAAGTTGGGGAACAAGTTCGTACATATCTGTCTCAGGGAAGCTACTATAGTGCTAACAAGCAGCTCAACTGCCTTTTTTCTAAAGTATGTAGCATCATCGTTTTAAATAAAAAAAATAATTTAATTATTTTTTAACATTATTGACTAAAATTATTTTTAAAATGAATTTTTTTATTTTATTTTATTATTTTTGTATGCATTAATTTATTTCTGTTGTAAAAGGAGCAATAAATGGATTTCATCTACACTTGTTTTCAAAAATAAAAATTCCATTTGAGATTTCTAATTTTTTGAAAGAAATATATCGTAAATATCTTTTTGTTACTGGCTAACTAGCATTTTCAAATATCTAATTAAGAAATTATATGCTCCATTTCCCTTTTTGTTTACTAATTTTTTAAATGTGGCAAGTATATAGGAACTTACAAACTTCCTAAACTAAGTTACCCATTAATTTAATTTAGTTGCTTATGTAATTTAAAAAATTGAGACTAATTATTAAGTTTCCTTGTTTTTAATATATGTTTTACATTTTGTAAAATTTTATTCATAAATTCCATATACAAGTATTGTACTTAAACTATTGACACAAATATTATATTTAATTATTGAACAGTTCCTAATATATATTCTTGTACTTATTTGGTCCTTATTTGCAACCTTTAAGCTTTTAGTTTACTCCCATTCTTAGGTTCATTTCAATTTACTCTTAGTTTTATGAAAGGAGAAATTTTTTAGCTACTAAACACAAGTTTGAAGCATTGGAAAATTAGTATTTATTTATTTATTATTTGGTATACATAATTTTTCACACTATCTACTTATGTAACTAAAATTACCTCAATTTTTGTGTAATTATTTATGAATTAGCAACATTTTTAAAATGTATGAACTCTTGTTTATTTAGGTGAAAGAAATGTTACGAGCAAAAGACTCCAATGGTGGACGTATGTTGCGTCTAATTACTGAACAATTTCTAGCAGATCCTCGACTGGTTATCTGGCACTCTCAAGGCACTCCTATGACAGATAAATGTCGACAGTTATGGGACCAGTTAGGTATGTTGGACCGGCTAGGTATGTTATTAAGCATTAATTGTCTGCATTAATGAATTAATTTAGAAATTATTCGCAATATTAATTTTAGTTAAAACATTTAGCCCCTATTTTTAAGTTTTCTCTTTATACATGTTATTTTTTGCTTAAATTTCTTTAATAAATATGTGTTGATTTAGTTTACAATATTTCTATATTTTATTAAGTTATTTCTATTTAGCTTATCTAGTTCTATTTAGTTGATTCAGTCAGTTCTATTTAGGTTTTACCTTATAAACTTTTCAAAAACAGTTGAGTTTTTTTTTTTAAATTAAGAAATATTAATTTTAGTTATCATTTTATTTTAATATTAAGTTTTAATAAATTTGCATAAATGTAATTTTTTTACTTATTATTTTTTTACTAATGTGTTGTTATATGTTAGTTTAGGATTTTTTTTTTTCCTTTTTGAACTTATTTTTGACAGCAGGTATATTAGTATGATTATTTACATTTATATTTGTTGTGAACTATCTCTTAATTATTATATAGTTACAAAGATTTTTTGTGCACCAAACCCTTGTTATTAAATAATAGCTTATCTGTTTAAATGTTTTGATAACTTAAGAAATTATTCCAAATATATTTACTTATTCTAAGTATAAGTTTTAGTTTAAAAATTCTGTGCATGTTTCTAAGTATTTACTTTATATACATTGTTTTTTGGTTAAAAATTTCTTTCATGAATACGTGTTGATTCACTTAATTATATTACTACATTTTAATGAGTTAGTTCTATTTAGCTTTATTTTTACGTACAGTTTTTTAAAAAAAAAACATTTGTTTTTTTATATAAATAAAAAAAAATATTCCTTTTAGTTATTTATATTTTCTTATTTTAATATTTAATAAAAATTTGCTACTAATTAAAACTTAATCACATTTAAAATAAATTATCTTTAAAAAATAGTTATTTAATAATTTTCTGTAAACTTGTATAAATATAAATTTTTTATTTAATATTTTTTCATAAATATGTTGTAAAGCATTTACCTTAAAATTTATTTTTTTCTTACCTTTCAATTTTAAAATTCAATAAGAATTTCATTTTGGACATCAGGTATCTTATTATAATAATTTGCATATTTATTTGTTGGGCTATCCCTTTATTATTGTAGTATCAATGTTTTAACTTTGCATGGTACTCTTGTTAATAAATAAGAGTAATGTGTTTAAGGGTTTTACTAACTTCATTGTAATTATTTGCAGGTGCATTATGGGTTTGCATAGTTCTGAATCCACACTGCACAGCTCTTGAGAGATCACATTGGAAAACTTACTTAGAAAAGTGGGCTAATATGCATGTATGTCCTTTAGAAGATGCAGATTTCAGGCCTATGAGAGGGAACAATAGCAGTCGACGAAGAATATTAGTTGATGACTCTTCATCAGATTCTTCTGATGAAGATAATGGTGAGATAAACTCTTAGTTCTTGTCATTGTTGATGAATTCTTGCATAATTTTATTGTATGGTTTTAAAAAAACTATTTCCAACATTTCGTTGAGCTAATATATAATATTTTATTTTGTTGTCAAAGATTAGTAGCTATTCCATATTATGAATGTCCAACTGTGCTCAAAGAAATGTTTCTTCACTGAGTGCTATCACCATAAGAAAAGTGTAATTACTCGAATAATCAATTAAATCCACCCCATTTAACGCTTATTACAGGAGATGTATTATCTCAATGCTATTCTAAGCTTTAACAGGAATCAGTGTGTGTGTGTATATATATATATACCTGTCATAACCTGTACCAGTGTAGAAAAAAAATTTCCTTACTCAATGGAGTAACTTTCATCCAATACTTTTTTTTTTGAGTGAGTTAGAAATAGCTGGCTTAAATTTTTTGGTTTTTAAAATTATTGACTGCATTTATATGACTTTAAATGCGTGAACCATCTTCTTGCAGATCGTCCAAAGGAGCGCTCATTGACTGGCCACCACCGAATTTCTTCTGCACCTCAGCTAAGAACGATCTTCCATCGAGCACTTGAAGCCTGCCATCTGAGTTGGGATGATCCTCATTTGAAATTCATTTTAAATAATGATAGCCTTAGTCCTAACACTGAAACACCTGCTTTAGGAGCCTTCAATTCTCAGGGATATCCTCTTTGGCCTGGTAAGAAATTAAGAAAAAAATTTCATTCATACTTTCCAACTTTCTTAATAAAGTGTGAGAATATTACTACAAAGTATGTGCTAAAAATCATGAAATATATATTTTTAAAAATTATTCTCATACAATATTGATTGATACAAAGTGTTAATAATCTTAGTTTCCTTATTCATCTACTCTTTTTTTATATCAACTCTCCCATTTGCAAAATACTCTCTTATTGGTCACAAAGTGAACCTCATTTATAGCTAATGTGCTGTCAGCTAAAATAGACTCAAAGATGCCGAATTTGCATTCTTTGGAACTTGGACCTGGAGAGCAAAAAGAAGTTTATTAGACTAGCTCTGGACTTTAGGTTGATTGTAGTCTAGTGCTGGGCTTAAGGATGATCGTAGTCTTTGACCTTAATCTTTCCAGAACATCTTCATTTTTGAGACGATTGTTGGCATGTCTTTGAACTAAAAACTTTGTGAAGAATACTCCTGTCTTTGAAAAAGTTAATGGGCATCCTTTTCTCTTAGATTTTTTCATCCTCTTCTTTTTATGTTTCGTTGATGCCATTTGCACTCTTGCAATTCGTCTGTGGATTTCACTATAAGTCCACATTTTATCAGCATATTTTTTGTCAAATTTTGTACTGAAGTTGATTGTCTAGAGGTGATGAAGAATATTTGAAATTGTATGTCTTATAACAGGGTTATACCACATCTGAGATTTTTATGCTATCTGTGCAGTATGCAGATGTTATGGTGCACTGAAAAGCTAAGTGTCCCTCTCACCTAACCCAATCAGTCTAAACCTGCTTTGGACATTAAGGGACTGGTACAACAATGCCTTGTACTTTTGGATTACACCTTTAATAAAATTAGTTACTACATTATTTCTTTAAAGTAAGAATTTTCATTTATAATATTTTTTTCTATCTTGTTACAGGTATAAAAACTGAATTTTAATTTTTGTAACAAATTATCCTAATTTATTGATATGTCTGCTCAAGAATATTTAATATTTACATATGTAATCTTTGAAAATAATTATATGAAATTAATTATTATTATGAGTGTTGTACAAATAAAGGTGTAAAATATATTTATAATTATGAAATATGTATGAAATTGATTGTGTTACCTATCAATAGTTTTCACTTGTTAGAGTTTTAAAAAGTTTAATTAAATATTTTTTGTAATAATAAGATTTTAAATTCAGCTTAATTTTTTCAATTTTTACAGAACATATCCCCACTGCTTGCGCTAGAGTCGAAGCATTACGATCTCATGGATATCAACCGGAAGCATTGAGACTAGCTGTAGCAATCGTTAGAACAATGAAGCGACAACAAAGAGACTGGCAATGTCGATGGCAAGCAGAACAAGACAGGGGAGGTGAAGAAAAATTTATATTTTGCGAAACATTTCAAATCAATAAAAGTACCATTGAGCTGATTTTCATTTCTTTAAACATAATGTATCCATTTTAGTTGCTCCTTGCTCAAGTTCTGGTATCACAAGCAATCCACTGCACTACAATTCTGAAGGTTGGATTGGACATCCTCTTGATCCTGTTGGTGCTCTTTTTGATACATTAGCTGAATCATCTTTGATACCTGAGACTAAATCATTTGATCAGTACTATGGTGAGTATCATATGCTCTTTAACTTCTATGATTAGTATTATATGTCTTTTAAATTTTGTGATTTTAGGTTTTTGGTATTGTTTTATATTATTTACTGTATTCATGCATTTGACCTTAGAAAAAAGACACAGCTCCAATCAAAATTATTTGAAAATAGCCAAAATAATATATATAAAGCACTAAAGTCTAAATAAATTATTTTGCAATTCTAATAACATTACTGAAAACTTCTAATGATCTACTGTTTAATGAAAATTCATAGTTTTCAATATTTCTAGTGAAGTGTTTCAAAATTTATCATTTTTTTAAAATCTTGTAATGCTGTGGCTAGGAAATAATGCTTATATTTTAAATAAAATAATAGAAATAGCTTTTGAACAAATTAAATTCTAAGATTAAGGACTTTCAAAAAGTTTTACTTGTTCTGTAGATTTTGATGTTTATCTCTTTACTTGTCCTGCAGACATCAGAATAATAATCATGATTTTAAACTTGAATGAGTATATTTTGTTCAGGCTTGAGATCTTAAATACATTTATTTTAATATTGGATGTTCATATAGATGCTGCATGTGCTCTTCGTGTTTTGAAAGAAGCTGTAGATTTTACAGTGTTGAACAAAATTTACTGAATATCTAAACTACATCTCTAAAAGATTTTATGATAATTAATTCATAGAAATCAATTCTTTATAAGTATTATATAGTTAACACCAGTTTATTTTTATGAAATTATATAAATAGGCTTTCTTGCTTTTTTTCTTTTTTTTTTTTGGTGAATCATGAAATTTTTTTGCTAAAAACTTCCCTGATCAACACACTTGCAGAAGTAATAAATTCATAAAAATGTGGATATTGGTTAGTAGCATAGCTATTGTCTTAATGAAATTTTCTTATTTTAGATGTAAGCATCACTAATGCATCTAATGAAGAGGGCAACTTAGCACCCCGAGAAAGACCTAGGTATCATCATGTGTCTGTGCCAGGCAGTAGAGATAGAAGTGAAACTTATCTGTCATTAGCTGTTGAAGCTGCTCTTATTGGTCTAGGTCAGCAGCGTGTGATGCCTTTAGGCTTGTATGCTCAAGAAAAAGCTTGTAAACATGAAGATCGTCTCATCACAAAACTTCATGACATTGACTTGGATGGTACACTAGTCGCTGTACTTCGAAAACAAGCCATGCTTTTGCTTGAAGGTTTGTTTTCATATAAGCCTCTTATGTATTTAATGTTTTTTTTTCCTGCTAAATCTTTAACCCTTTCGCGATGAGTATTTTTTTTTATTTTTATAAGAGAACAATTTTGGTAGCATAAACTATGAGTAGGCTCACTAGAATGCTAAAACTAAGATGTTATATTTTTAGGAAGATTTTGAACACTGATTTAGGACCGGGGCATATATGTCCCATCAGTCTTGACAACTGGAACATACGTGTCCCAGTAGTCTTTAATGAGTAATTTTGTAAAGAAAACCAATGATCACATAGGACTGTTGGGAAAATGTGTTCCCACTATCCAAGACGAGAGGGACACTTATGTCCCGATAATAAAAATGGAAGTAAAACTTTGCCACTTACCAGTTTATTAGAGGTAATCTGCTTCGTAAGTAGCATCTCTGGCCTTAGATTTATAGATCAATCAAAATTTAATCGCAAATAGGCGGTATTTTCCAAAACTAAACTATTTACTTTCGTATAGTATGGAATGAGCTGCTACAACACTTCGAAAAAGCAGAAATTGCATTATGCAAGGTAGTGCCATCTATGTTCTGTGAATGAAAATACCTTCAGAAATATTGGCAGAACTGGTGGGAAAGTCTCCCATTAGACATAGAAGCGTTTCTGTCCCAAAAGATTTTTTGTAAATTTGCTTGGGACGTATGATGTGTCCCGTTAGGCACGAAAGATTTAAACATATAAGTTTTAAATACTGAAAATGACCAAAAAAAAAAAAAAAAATTACTTCTGTATCATTAATGTTAACTGCAATAACTTTTCTATTTTTATATATATGTACATTTAAGTATATATATCATTAGTAATATATGCATTTAAAAAAATATTTTTGAAATTTATCAAATACTAAAGGCTCTTTTTTTTAAAAAAATTATAAATTTAAAAAAAAGTAAAAAAAATCACTTTTGCTAAGCTTTGATTTTTGTTATTGTGTAAGGATAATAAGTTTAATTGCATTTTGTCTTGGGCTTACTCTTATTGAAATATTGGATAAATTAAAAAAAAAAAGGTTCTTTCTTTAACTTTAAAAATTACCAGCATATCCAATTATCAGAATGCCGTTGTAATTTCGCTGTTGATAGTGTTAGTTTATTAGAAGTATTGATAGAGTTTAAAGATATATTGAACAACATTTTTGAATACTCAATAATTTTTATGAACGAAATATTATTTTGAATTATCTGTTTAAAAATATAACTTTTTTTGCTCTTGTAATTTATAATAACTTTAAATATAACTTAAATCTATGCTAAATACAGTGCTTGTAAACATGAGTTATTGTATAGATGCTAACTACTACAGGGCTCATAACAAGAGGGTTAACTGTTGAAAATAACTTTATGGAGCATATTATGATTTTATAAATATGAGATACAGAAAATATTAATAACTTCTTTACATACTTTTAGTATAATTAAAATATTTTTAATATAATGACTATATCCATATCTATTTAAAAATTAAAATAAATTTAAGGAAATATATATTTTTATTATATTAATTAGCTTGCTTTTAATGGTAAATATTATTTTATTTTAACTAGGTGGACCTTTTAGTGGCCTGGGATGTGGTATACATCCTGAAAGCGTTCCAATGCATACCTTTGCTAAATATTTATTTACTGCACTTTTACCATATGATTCAGAATTGGCGTATAATGTTGGTCTTCGAGCAATGAGGTAATTTTTTGCTTTTTTTAATTTTAATACTGATTCTTGGTATTAACTCTTCCTTTTAAATTTATATTTTTCTATTCAATTTTAATGTGCAAATAACTTTCGTATTCAGCTTTTCATTTTTTAAATGTTTTAAGGAACAAATAAAAATATTTTTTGAAACATTTTATTATAAGTTGTTATAGTTATCAAAAGTAATATATTTTTATGTATGAAAAATAAAGCTTTTTTTTTAAATTATGAGAAATTCAATAAAAAGTTTCATTTTATTTATTATGATAATAATAAGAAGTCTGAGAAATATTTTATGCTAGGGATTTTATGTTTTTTGTTTCAAATATTTATGATCAGTATGACTGAATTTCTATAACTTTTATCAGGTTACCCATTCTTGAAGATCATGAAGATTCTGAAGAGGTTGCCATAAATCCCTCTTTGAATCCTTCTGTTCTAAGCCGCTATCCTCGTTGGTTCACTTTGGGACATATAGAAGTTCAACAATGTGCTTTAGCCTCTACCATGCTTTCAGCTGCCAAAAGTAAATAACTTGTTTCAATCTATTCTTTTTTTCAAATATTACTTATTTTTTTTTCAATGTGACCCTTTTTATGAAATTTTTTTTTTGCTGTTTATCTAACCATTTAAGACATTTTTCTTGAAGAAAAGAAAATTCTTACACTGTAAAACATGAATTGTTCAAAATTACTTCTTAAACAGATATAAGTGTGTATTAAAAAATTAATTTGCAGCTTCTTAAAATGAAAATACTATTTACAAACATATTTAAATATATTTCTTCATTGGGATTTAAATGCTAAACATTTTGTAAAATATTAAAATTATTTTAAACATTTAAAAATTTCTACCAGAAATCCTAATAATGAATTTCCATTATTTTATTTTATTTTTTTGTTAAAAAAATGTTAGAAAATTTTAAAAATTTACCGGTTTTTGAATAGTTTAAATCTTTTCATTGTCTTTTTCTAAACTTACGATGATAAATGCTATGTTTATTATTTGAATATGAACAAATAACTGTTGGATTTTTGCAGAAAATATATATAAGTTCGTATGTATTATTATATATTTATTTTACTAAAATAGGTGACGTTGTGAAGCTTCCAACTGTTTTAAAATCAGCTCAACGTAATATTCATAGTTCCTCTCAGCTGTTCAAACTTGCCCAAGATGCATTTCGTATAGCTGTTCCACCTGATGGGGGTGGGAGACATCCTACTCTTTTAGATGCAGCTTTTCAGCTTGGTCTCCAGGTCAGTATTTTTTTTAAATAATATTGTTATTATATTTATGTATGCATATTTATTTTTGTTAAGGTATTTATTGAATCATATTTCTGTATTTCAAAGTTAACTTCATCTGTAGTGAATTTACTCACTCAGTGTTTTGTAATAAGTACTTATTTTTTTAATAAATGAGTATTAACTAAATCTATGTCATCTTTAATTTCAGGTTTATTTTTTGTTTTAAATCATTTATTGTCATTTAAATTTTTTCGTTATTTTTCAAAGAATTTAAAATTTTTAAAGTCCTTACTTTTGAATAAAATAAAAAATCATGTACAATTTATGTTTTCGAATCTTTGTTAGCCGTACAAAAAGGAATGTAGACTTGAACTATCAGCGTTTAATATTTTTTACGAATAGTAAGCAACCATTGCTATGAATACAACAAGTAAATAAGGAATGATAAAAAAAGAAGAATGAAGCAAATAAGTTAATGGCTAGTAATTGAATAGGCTTATTAGTTTATTAAAAAAAAATTAAGAACTTCAAATTTATTATATGGATTCAACAACCATTTGTTTTTGGGAACGAAATTTAAAATATTTTTGAATTATTCATTTATAATTCTGTATTGTAGGTGATGCGAATGACTTTGGCCTCCTTAAACTGGAGGAGGCGAGAGATGGTGAGGTGGTTAGTCACATGTGCCACTGAACTAGGATTAGAAGCTGTTATATCCATCATTCAAAATTGGTATCAACTGTTTTCACCAACTGAAGCTACTGGTAATGTCTCTTACTAAATTTTTAACTGTTTCTGCTAGCAATATTTTTTAATACTAATGCCAACTCTTCAAGCATTTTATATTTTTGGTAAAGACTAAACAATAAAAATGTATTCAACTGGTTGAGTTCTATAGTGAAGAATATACTAATGAATTGTTTTAGCTAATATTGCACATAGGATAATCTTTTAAGATAAGTAAAGGCTAAGTACCCCTTAGTATTGTGTAAAAGAAAAACTTTTTTTTTCTTAGTAAAGCTACATACAAAATTTGTTTCTCTTTTCATTTGTTTAATAACTTTGCTAATTTTAAAATCTATGCTGTAGTTAACTTGTTTTTTCTAACTAATATGTAATATGCGTATTTCTATGTTATAATATATTTGCAGGAAGTTTTATTTACTTACATTATAATTTAAATTTATGATATGTAACTTTATGTATTATGATTTAATGTTAGTTAGTTTACCAGTTTAAGAAAAACTTTGATTATTTTTTATATATATAAATGATACTTTAATAACTATTCAATGTACTGTCGAATTATCAAATCAATTAAGCTACGTCATTGAACCAAAAAAAATTTTTTTTTGCTTCATCCTTGAACTAAGTTTTATAATTGTTATTAGTCTGATTTTGAATATTTTAATGCATTTTTCCTTTTCAGATAATTTTTTTATCTTCATTTGCCTTCATAATTGTTGACTGATTCTTTTTTATTTTCAGAAGTTTAAAATAGTGCATTTTCAATAGTTCTAACTCAACAAACAATAAATATAATGTAAAACAATAATATTTAAAAACAGGAGATATTCTGTGAAAGTTGAAATCTCAAGTATAGGAGAACTCACAATCTTGTGTTATTAGAATTATTACTAAAAATTTGCATATTAAACAATGTATTTATAGTTATGAATATTTTGATTGAAATAATGTATTATTTAGTGTGTTATAAATCTCACAAACCTGAGCTATCAGTAAAAAATTGTGCCATCTCTAACATATTTACTTAATTATTAATAATTCTTTGCACTTTATAAGAAATTTGAAACTCTTTTCACTGTGTCTAGATAACTTCATAATAAGTATCCAACTGTAATTAAAACGAAGGAGAAGTAGATAAATGTTGATCCTATAACAAACTCAAAATGTATTATAGATGTTAGTAATTTATTGGGAACCTAAAATGCTTTTAACAATAATCAAAAAATTCCTCCTGTAATATAGCAACTGAACAGAAGGAAAATGTTGCTAATATAATATGACACAACACTGAGTAATAGATAAAGTACGGTTTTTTTAATTAATTGTTTCTATAATACAGTGGTCTCTCATTATTGTGGCTCTGTTTTTATTGAATCTCTTGTTAATGATCTATATGAAGACATATTTATTTGTTCCTACAATTTCTTGCAGTTATTATTTCTTTTAGTAATTATGATGTTACATGATGAATTTTTGTGTACTTCTACAGATTTCTTTAGTTATTGCAGGAGAAAATGGTTGCTTTCACTATTTTTTGCTGAAAAAAATAGTTGCATTTTTTTCATTATTTTTTGCAGGAAAAGATTGGATAGTATTAGGTTGACAATAGATATAAATTTGTAAATGATTTTAAATGGACATATATTTATTTTTTGTTATTTTATTGCAAAGAAAAGAAACATAAAAAAAAAAAAAAAAAANTAATTTTAAAATCTATGCTGTAGTTAACTTGTTTTTTCTAACTAATATGTAATATGCGTATTTCTATGTTATAATATATTTGCAGGAAGTTTTATTTACTTACATTATAATTTAAATTTATGATATGTAACTTTATGTATTATGATTTAATGTTAGTTAGTTTACCAGTTTAAGAAAAACTTTGATTATTTTTTATATATATAAATGATACTTTAATAACTATTCAATGTACTGTCGAATTATCAAATCAATTAAGCTACGTCATTGAACCAAAAAAAATTTTTTTTTGCTTCATCCTTGAACTAAGTTTTATAATTGTTATTAGTCTGATTTTGAATATTTTAATGCATTTTTCCTTTTCAGATAATTTTTTTATCTTCATTTGCCTTCATAATTGTTGACTGATTCTTTTTTATTTTCAGAAGTTTAAAATAGTGCATTTTCAATAGTTCTAACTCAACAAACAATAAATATAATGTAAAACAATAATATTTAAAAACAGGAGATATTCTGTAAAAGTTGAAATCTCAAGTGTAGGAGAACTCACAATCTTGTGTTATTAGAATTATTACTAAAAATTTGTGTATTAAACAATGTATTTATAGTTATGAATAGTTAGAGTGAGTTTTGATTGAAATAATGTATTATTTAGTGTGTTATAAATCTCACAAACCTAAGCTATCAGTAAAACACGTGCCATCTCTAACATATTTACTTGATTGTTAATAATTTATTTACTTTGCACTTTATAAGAAATTTAAAGCTCTTTTCACTGTGTCTAGATAACTCCGTAATAAGTATCCAGCTGTAAATAAAACGAAGGAAAAGTAGATAATGTTGATCCTATAACAAGTTCAAAATGTATTATAGATGTTAGTAATTTATTGGGAACCTAAAATGCTTTTAATAATAATAATCAAAAAATTCCTCCAGTAATATAACAACTGCAACTGAACAAAAGGAAAATATTACAAATATAATAAGACACAATACTGACTAATAGATGAAGTACGATTTTTTTAATTAATTATTTTTATAATACAGTGGTCTCTCATTATTGTGACTCTTTTTATATTGGATCTCTTGTTAATGATCTGTATGAAGACATATTTATTTGTTGCTACAATTTCTTACAGTTATTATTTCTTTTAGTAATTATGGTGTTACATGGTGAATTTTTGTGTACTTCTGCATATTTCTTTAGTTATTGCAGGAAAAAATGGTTGCTTTCATTATTTTTTGCAGAAAAAGATTGGATGGTATTAGGTTGACAATAGATATAAATTTGTAAATGATTTAAAATAGACATATATTTATTTTTTGCTATTTTATTACAAAAAAAAGAAACATAAAATTTTTTTTTTTAAATTCTCCTTTTCAAAAATTCTTTTATTTTTCTTTATAAATATACCCTTTGCTTATAATTTACTGTATTTAATAAGCATCAATGAATCGGAACTTCAGATAAAATATATCTCGTGAAAATCTGCAATATTGGGAAACTACTGTAATTTAGTTAAATTTTATGTAGAGTTAATTACGACTGATAATTTTGCAGGTCCGGTTGCAACTACTGTTATGTCTCATGCCACTGTAATGCGGCTAAATTTGGACTTTCGACAACAAGAAGAACTAGCAAGTTGTGCTCGTACCTTAGCTCTTCAATGTGCCACTAAGGATCCACCAAACTGTGCTCTCAATGCTCTGACGCTGTGTGAAAGTGAACCTTTTGCTTTTGAAGCAGCATATCAGATAGTTGTGGATGCGGCTACGACTAATGTCATGACCTCATCCCAACTATTCACGGTAGCTCGGTACATGGAACACCGGGGCTACCCTCACCGTGCTTACAAATTGGCTGTTTTGGCCATGAAGGGTGTCCACCTTGCCTATAATCAGGACAATCACCCTGCCATAAATGACATTCATTGGGCGTGTGCTCTTGCCCACTCTCTGGGCAAATCAGAACTGACAAATCTTGTTCCCCTCCTTGTCAAAAATGTGCAATGTGCCACTGTGCTTTCTGACATTCTTAGACGCTGCTCTATGGCTGCTCCAGGTATAGCCACACTGGATGCTAAGCGGCGGTGTATCAAACCTCTCTCTTTGGACAAACCTCCTCTGCGTCAGCTTCTGGAGGCTGCCATATCAGCATATGTGAACACTACGCACTCCCGTCTGACGCACATTAGTCCTCGCCATTATGGTGACTTTATTGAGTTCCTCGGCAAAGCAAGAGAGACGTTCCTACTGGCACAAGACGGACACATCCAGTTCGCTCAACTGGTGGACAATATGAAATCCGCTTACAAAGGAAAGAAAAAGCTCATGCTCCTAGTCAAGGAAAGGTTTGGCTAGCCCATTGTAATATTCTACAGCCTTGTGTGTTTTTGACATGGATACTTTATACTCGGGTTAATGATATTTTCCCATAAAGCTGTGATTTGATGTGTGAGTGACAAGATGGGGAAGACCTGAGGCAGGGCCAGTGTCCCACTATATAATATTGTTCCAGGCGAGCAATAGGAAATTGCCTTCTGTCAGTTACTATGTTGAGAAGTTCTGCAGGACAGGATACAGAGTTATTCAGTAAAATATTCCAAAGGATAATCATTTTAAGATGGCATTTTTTTTTTTCAATTTATTTTATAAATACTCATATTGTTATTTTTTTCTATGTCATTTTTTTGCAACAGTTTTTGATGCTTAAAAAATAGTTAAGCATAAATTATGTTTAAAAATTTTAGTTTCAAGTATCTTAACGCACGCTAAATAAGTTTTTTTTTCTTTTATAATTAGTTGCAAAAACTAGTTAAACTATAATTTTAGGAGCTTTTTATGATACAATGACAAGCCACGAAAGAAGGTTAAAAAAATATGCTTTTTGAATCTTTAAAATCTATTTAACATTGTAATTTTTTACCGACATTTTCAGCTGTGACAGCATAGTGGTGAAGGCACTCGGCTATAATGTGAGACCCCCAATAATTTCCTCAGTAAGAGTTGCTGCAAAATGCTGGCCACATTGCCACCATCATGCTTTTGCAAATTGTGGGACCTTGACCAACAGCTGGTTGTTGCGACAGTGCTTTACTTTACTTTGACGATGTTTCATTGTCATGTTCAGTGTATATTCATGCTTATTTATAGACTTTTTATGTTATTTAAAAGTGAAGTCTTAAAATTGGTTTAATAACTAAAACTAAACATATCCACATTTTACTTTTCATTGTTTCATAATAGGCCCTTCAATTTTCATACATAGTTATTTTGATTAAAATTCAATATATTTTTCTACTATATTCTGTAATGTTTTATTAAGCTACCATAAGGAATTTTTAAAATGTTTAAATGAGTTTTAACTATATTTTGATAGTGGTTTACCCTTTTTTTATTTTTTAATTATATGCATTGTTTGAAAAATAACAAATCTAAATGTTTTGGGGGGATTTAACATATAATATTCCTATCTTTGTATTTATTTTTAAAAATGGTGTAATTTCTTTTCTATGAGAGAATTTTAGATGCATTAAATATTTCTTTTTAAGTGCAAAAGTATGAATTTAATTTTTTTTCTTCAGATTTCTGATTTAATTATGTTTTTAAATTTTTTATGTAATAAATACATTATTTATTAATTACTTACCATGCTTATGCGATTTAAACATTACTTAAAATTCTATATAAAAAATGCCATCTTAAAATGCTGAATCAAAAAGAAGAATTGAATAGATTGAACCTCAATTATGGAATCAGTAAATAAGATTCAGAAAAGCTGCAAAAGCAGAGAAATGTTTAGCCTTGACTTCAGTTTGACAAAATATTTTTTACTCTAATGACAAGGCAGATTTTAAGTTGCATACAAAATGCTAGTTTCTACCTCACTAATATTTTATTTTGTACAAAACAACCATGAATTATGTTGTGGCCAATTTTCCAGTCAATTTAAATGAAAGTACACAAAGCATCGATGCAAATTGACACTGTACATGCACAAATATCTTTCTCTTATGTGTATTTTGAATTTTTCTACTTAAAAATTAATAAAGAAAACTACTAGCTATTAATTTTATTAAAGATGTTCTTCGAGGCCTCTGTTCTCATCTGAAATAATGCTTTTTAATACATTAGATGTTAATTTTATAACTGTTGTGAATTTGTAACTGTTAGGTTAAATTTTGTTCACCTTAAGTCAGTGCTAATTAAAGTAATGGCACAAAATATTAAAATAATAAAACGCTAAATTTTTGAGAAAATAAAAGTGTTTTTAATATAATTTTATGATATTTAAAAAGTGACCGTTTTTTTAACTATTCTATTTTTACTCCTCTTTGAACTAAAACTCATAAAAATGTGCAAAAGTTGTAAACCATTCCTAGGCTTTATTGATTTTCATCGTATTTAAAAACCTTTCCAAATTCACAATCTTTCAAAAAAAATTTAATATTTTTTTAAAACTATTTTTTTTTTCTTTACTTTTTAAGACTAGATAGTATATAATACATTTGTAAAGAATATATCTTGGGCTTCGAGATTTTGACAGTTTTGTTTTGTTGTAATACAAATAGATGAAATCTGCTGTTAGATTTCCCCATCTCTCTTCACACCAAACATTAGAGTCTCCTCAGTCACATGCTCCCTCTTTTTTGCCGATTTTGGAAGTGAGAGAAGGGCATTGCGTGAAATTTGAGACTAGTTCCTTTTCTGGTAGATTCGTGTTTTCGTACTTATACAGGTAATCGAGGAAATTGAAAAGCTTCAAAAGCATTGTGATTAATTGAAGTCTAGTAAATTGAATTATTTTTCGGCAATACTTTAATTAAAAATTATTTCAAAATTCCAATTTTTTAATTTGTATAAACTGAACAAAATTGTTTACATTTTTACAAAATTAAGAACATTTTAATTTGTGAATGTTTTTTAAAACTGTAAAAATTTATCTTTTAATCAAATTTATAATAATAAGACTCAATAATTTTCAGAAAATCTTAATTGAAATCTATAAAAAAGGTGTTTAAATTTTAATCTCACTTATATTTTGTAATTATACAACATTTAATAAAATCATTGATATCTTTTCCGGTGTTTCCAATTTTTGAAACTATTTAAAATAAATAATTTTAGACCTTTCGAAAAAAATTTGAAAAAATCTGCTTAACTCTTTGAAACTTTCCAATTTAATTTCAACTTTCCACTTATGCTTTAATTAAACAGCTTTAATACTACTGCTTGCATTCTCAATTTTTTCATATATTATTGCAACTAAAAAATAGCAGATTCAATTTTGAAAAGATATGATGATTTCATAAACAAAAACTTTGTCAAAAAATGTTGCCCAATTTATTTAATAGCTATGCAATAATCTTTCATAAATCCTTTTTTCTGTAAGAAAATGTTTTTTATTAACTAAATAAATACAAAGCAAGTTGTCGGAGTTAAAATATATTGAAGTTATTCTTTCACAAGCATTATACGGAGTAAAAATATACAACATAAATAAATGAAGAAATGATGTTGCCAAAACTTTAGCATTAAAATATTAAAAATGATGTATTAATAATGAATAATTCTATATAATTACTATGTAATAATTTAAGTTGTGTTCCTAATTGTTTATATTTACTTGATAGATAGTTTTAAAAGCAATAATTTGGAGTTTAGAAGGAATAAAATGGAATGATTGGCATTTATATGATATTTTAAGGGGAAAATGGCTTTTCTAAAAGTTCTTTTTTATAGTAATTAAAATAAATGTAATTCCAGAAAGGGATAAATTAATTTACCCATGAAATTTTTAAGGTCCTCTTTTAATAAATTTTTTGTACAACCAACTGCAGCATAGTGAACAATAATATTTTAAAATTTTTGACTTTAAAATTTCCGCATCAATTTTCTTATGAAATACAAGGAGTGGACAACGGAATGGTAGAAATTTTTTTCTCGACTGGCGCTCCAGTCAAATAGTTTCATTCTGAGAACAAACATTTTCACTTCCATTCAACATACATTTCTCCTCTTAATTAAATTGTGCTTCTTGGCTAAAGAGCTTCATAGAACATCTTTAATAAATTATTCTTATTTCAACATTATTTTCATTAAATCACGTTTTTTTAAAATTTTAATATTTCTTAGACAATTTTCAATTATTTTTCCTCTAAATAAATTACAGGGGAAGTTATTTCCATACAAATGTTTCCAAAAATGCATAATCAAAATTAATTCTATATTTCTTTAAATCTTTCTTGTGTACCTTTTAATAAGTTGTTACACAAAAAAGATATATAAAAAAAAATGTAATCAAAGATATAAAATATTATTTGTATGAAGTAAGTGTCATTTTGTATTTGCAATGAAAGTCCATAGTTTTAATCAGACTATGTTTGTATATTTTTTGTAAATGTTTGTCTATTTGTAAATAGTAGGTTGTGTATTTGCATTAGGACCAAGCATAATAATGCAAGCTTAGATTTATATATTGAAGCGAAAAAAATATGCTATTAGAAATCTAAACGTTTTGCTTTCAGATTATTTTGTTAAATTTTATTTAAACTTTTCTTTGGTAAAAATTAAAATCACATTTTTATGTCTGCACTATTATATGAAATATATTTATATTTGGTTAAGATTCATTTCAAAAATATTGTTAAGTTTTTACCCTTTGTTGAGCATAAATATTTCAAACAATTTCATATACTAATGATACAGAATGAACAAAAGGTATTTTGTTTGATTTTGATAAGTATATGATTATCATAGAATTAGTATTACTGTAGCTAGTACACTTTATTTTTATTGTAATCAAATTATCATTTCTACTTGCTTTTAGAAATTTTGACATTTAATTTTAATCACTAAAGCATGTATTAAAACCATTAAAAAAATATTTATTTAATCGAATTAAAAAAAAAATTAGTTTTCTGAATTTATTGATTTTATAGGTATTAATTTGATTCCTATTCAGTACAATATAATAATTACTTAATATAACTTGAAAAATTTGTTTAATAAAATCATTACTCTTAGAGATATCATTATAATTAGATATGAATTTCATTAAAAAGCAACATTTTTTTTAAAGCATACAAACTGTATGTTAACTAAGTTTATTGATCTTATAGAAATTTATATTATTTAGTTATATATTTAAAAAATATCATTTAATCAAATTCAATTAATAAAAATTATAAAAAAATATTCCATAAAATGCCTAAATGTTTCTTAATTGAATCATAAAAACATTTTTAAAATTTTGTGAAATGTTTCAATTTTTGTACAATCTAGAGGTATGTGAGTCCTAAAAGTGAGTCGTATCTTTTTAACAGAGTGATACATTTTTGGAATCTTTTATTAATTGATATTTCTGTGGATATCAAAAGAGTTATCATAAATAATTGTTGCCACTTTATTCTGCATAATTGTTTTGTTTTATTTATTTGTTTTTTAGCCGTTGTTCATTCTGTATCAGAAAGTTATTAGTAAAATAGTTATCTAATTTTATCCATTTCCTAAATACTTGTTTAATTAAATGATTTCTTTCTTAGAAAAAGTTAGCCCTTTTTATATAGTTACCGGTGATAAAATGTTGACTTGGTTGCATTTTTATTCCCTTGAATTAGATATTTATAAACTTATGTGCGACATTTTAATTCTTGACACTGATAAAATTATCATAGATCATTTTTTCGTGTGTATTTTATATCTGTGAAAAAATGTATTTTTTGTGTAAGTAAAGAAAGTTTATAATTATTTATTCTAGTATTCACATTGTGTTTGCTAAATTTCTTTTAAAACGTTAAATTGCGATGTAGTGAATGAACTTCGTAATAATAATGGATACATTTCCCAGCCTATGATGATTTTTTTTTTTGATTTGCAGATACTGTATCTACAAATCTTTTGCCTGCAAAGTAAATATTATTTTCCAGATACTATAAATAAAAAAAATTCAGATAAAGTGACCTATGAATAAAATGTGTTTGTCAAAATAATGAATTTCTGTTACGATTTTAGTCTTTTCAATCAAACTATATGACAATATGAATCGA